TTAAATATACATTTGAAAGGAAAATTTGAGGTAAATTTAACATGAAGATATTTGTTAAAGCATTTTAGATGGCAAATTGTTTATACTGATACATGAATGCTATGTGGAAATAGTTTACTGTCTTTCCTCTAAATATTATGAATAAAAATAATTATTGTGGATTCTTTAATTCTTTAGCTTTTTCCACTTTTCATTCTTCTGCTTTGATCTTGAAGCAGAATTGACTTTTTAGAAAATCCATGAGTACTGGGAAGTACAAAGCTGACTTGCGGATTCCCAAATTGTATTTGCTTTATAAGGAATGATAGACTTGGTGATTATTTAACCATTATTTTGATGATCTGAGGTTACAAAAAAGCAAAAAAAAAGGTTCCTTGATGAAACAAATTCCTACTTACTTCAACATTTTCACTAAATACTTGATCATAATGTCATTGGTCTAATTCTTAGTGACTTTCATTACACATTACGACTTTTATGTCATAATTGTAGAGTGTAATTTATAGTATACTATTTTAAACATATCAGTTATATAACACAATTGTTGAAATTGACAACTTTTTAGATACTACTTCACTTCTAAACATAATTGACTATTGGGAAATATATCTTTAGTAGAATAGTGGTATTTCTGATTATATAACAGCCCTTTAGGTATTCACCTTTAACCATGTTTTCATGTTTTCAGCACCTGGGTGTTTGAATTTTACAGCTGTCAATAGATACCTAAAGTATGGTACTGGTAATCCAGTGATAGGTTTTCTACAAAATGTTAAGCCTTGTTAAATTTCTTTGAAAATCTATTCAATGTACATAACAACAATGGCTCAAAAACATTGAAACTAAAAAAAGTTTCCTAAAATGTTCAAATATTTAAGTGAATTTAACTGTATTACCATTGGCAATAAAGTAACTAGTGAAACCTTTCTTTCAGATGGCTACTTTTGCATTTCCTCTGAAAGCAGAATAGCCTAGGTCTGATGGATTCATTTGTCTGTTTTCTTACAATGCGAGTTTTGGCTTTCTTCTTGTATTAGGAAGCAATGTATCTATGTCTCCAACAGATAGAATATGCATTAGTTAACTAACTCCACCTTTGAGCATGATCTAGTTCCTTATTTCATTTCTGCCAGTAACTGCATAGTGAAGTCACTTAGGTCTACATAACCCTATGCAAATCAGAACAAGAACAAAATATTTGATTGGTGCAATTTGCATGGAGACTTTAACAACAGAGAAACTGATGTTTCTAGTTTCTTCTACAGGGCACAATCTTACAAATTAGCCAGGGTATATCCAATATTTTAATGATTCAGTCCAATTCACCTATACCCATGCAGCCATAATTATACTCTACTTCATTCTCTAATTTTTCTTGCCCATAATAAGTAGCTAAACTTTGAATATACTTTACAAAGGCATTTAGGACGTGATTCCAGAGAATTGATAATGAATTATGCTACTCACCTCTGGAAAGGAAGATGATGAACTAAAAATGCAGAAAGAGACATTCTCAGACTGACTCAATTAATGTGTGAATTTATGTTGATTGGCTAGGTTTAAGAGCAGTTTAAAAAATTAGATGGGGATTTGAAGGAAGGGGGAGCTAGTGACAGTAAAGCCAGAAAAAAAGGAAAGGAGATTGTTATTGAAACACTTAAAATGTATAAGAGAACAGAAGGATGTTCAGAGAGGTACAGAAAAGCAGTACAGCTTCGACACTAACATCTTTAATTTATTACATACATTAAAAGATACAAACTGTGTGCAATAGAGAAAGAAAAGCTGTCGTGTTCACTGACTGTTATGACCTATTATTTGATTGCTATATTGTATATCTCTCAATAAACAAATATCTAAAAATGAATAATAGAGTATTAGGAGAAATAATTATAGCATGTACCATAATGCAGTGGAAAGAGAGCTAACCGTGGTTAGAGGACCAGAGTTCAAATCTCAGCTTTGCCATTTATTACCTACATGACCATAAGCAGGTCATTTGTCTGTGTCTTAGTTTCCTCATCTGTAAAATGAGGGGATTGAACTCAATGACCTCTAAGGCTCCTTCCAACTGAAAATAAATTATCCTATGAACTGTTAAAAATCACCATTAAAGTTACTAGTTGGACTAGATGCCTTCTGATGTCCCTTCTAATTTTCAGAGTTTGTGATTCTGTGACAGAGCTAAAAGGAATAACTGATCATGAACTTTATCTCCCGAGTTTTGTAGATAAGAAACCTGAGGCCCAGAGAACTGAAGTGATTTATTCAAAGTTAGTTAACAATCCTAGAAATTGTAAGGTCAAAATTAGGAAAACGAAAGCCTTCTCTCTCTGATTCTGCCACCCTGTTCCACTGGTTAGTTCCTCCTGCCACCTCCATTTTGAGGGATTCAGAGCAGTCATCTTTCATTCTTGAAACTTTACCACTCTGCCTCCTCCTTCCCTAGCCCCATTCCCCCTGCTTTTCAGTTACCTTTTGTGTATTGTTTTTCCCCATTAGAATATAAACTCCTTGAGGGTAACAACTCCCTCTTTTTGCTGGTATTTGTATCCCTCATGCTTAGCATAGTGCCTGTTACATAGCTGATGTGATTAGAACTCAGATCTCTAGAGTTTGGCTCTCAGAGCTAACTCATTGCTGTCCCCTCTCCTAAAGAAACAAGAAAAGGATCCAGGCTGCCTAATGAAGGCTTTCTCAACAATTAGCCTATGTTTCTTCTCAAAGTAAAGACTAAAGACAGATTTCAAGGGTTGAGAAGTGGAGTTGCTAATTAATATAGGCCTATTTCATGGAGACAAAGGATCTTCACATTTGTTTATTTTTAAAATAACAATTGGGCACTACTGAAAAAAGGTATCAAAGAGGAGACCCTGATTTTTCACTCATTTGCCATAGAATTTGATATTAGGAACAAGATTTACAATTTTCAAAATTTCTATGTGCCTAAAACAAATGCACATTACATTGAAAGTTGGGAATACTGAACCAACTAGCTTAAAACAAAGATAGTTTGCTCATTTGCAAAACTAGAAAGCTCTATTCTGAGCGTGGTGATAGTGGGTTGCCTAAAATGTCAGGAGGAGGGGTTCCCAAATACTTACAAATCTGCTGAAGAAGGTCAGTTTAATATGAAGCACTACTTATACCAGACTGCACAAGAGAGATCTCTGGTTTGAATTGTTTCAGATAGAGACCTACACCCTCTCATTAGCCAACTGAAAATAGATCAGTGAACCTTTTCACTCTTATATGTATTCTTGATTCTTTTCTGCTAGATACTCAATACTGAAAATATACATCGTAGCATACTTAATTTCAGTAAATTCTTTATTTAGTGGGAACATTTTGTAATTGAAAAAAAAACCCCTATCCTATATTTTATTGTTTAGAAAATGTATGTGAAAATGCCACTGGTGCCACCTTTACAAACAGGCCTTTATTTTCTAAATGAAAATTTAAAAATCAATGCACTTAGGAAATATTTTGCTAATAAATAGCTTATACACGGTGAACATATGGATTTTTTTTACACATAGTCAACTTAGAAGAGTTAATAGAATAACCAAGAGTTAGCATCTTTTTTTCAAAAAAGTCAAGTTTGCTGGGGAGAAAATATAATACAATGGATATGAAACACTGGCTTTGAAGCAAGGAAGATGAGTTTAAGTTATGACACATAAGACCCTGACTTGGCTGTGTAACTATAAGCCTCTCACTTAGAATCTCAATCCTCCCTCCCAGGCATGTCTCTAAGACAGGTGAGTTGCTGCTCTTACATGAAGAATGTTTCTACACTGGAACCACAAATTACATATGCCAACTATGTCTTCTTTTTTTCCCCCAAAAAAACCTGTGAAACTCACATTAACTCTAACTTTATAAATATTATGACCTACTGAATATATATTCAGTATTTTATTTTTCTTTTTACATGTAAAATATATTCTTTTTACATGGAAAATCACTGAGAAATAATGGAAGCATTTAAAAAAGAATTCCTTTATAAGGGAAACAGACTTACACGGCTCAACATGTCAAAAATAACAATAACTTCTTGGTCAAATGTATACCCTTGATGCATGTAGAAACTGCCAAGTCACATTTTTTAACCTGACATTAGATTACTTTAAATAACAGTCACTATTTGTGGCTTGTTACACTTTGCTTTTAGAAAGCTATGGAATTTTGATCATAGCCTCACATATTACATTTTGTCTACCTCAGCAATAATGGGTGCTGAGATATCATATTGTCTTGGTGGCTTTCAGATATGGAATTGTCTGCCCTCATCTTCTTAGCAACTAGTTCCATTCTGTTCTGAGATGGTCTGGCAAAGGGGCATGGGAGGTATACAGACTCGTTTATACCTGTCTCTACCCTGATTTCAAAACTTCTGTTGGGGTTTGGATGTGTTCCTAGGCAACCCTTGTGAATTCTGGATTGACCTGGATCCCTGGGTCTGCCAAGAGATGACATTATGCCCTAAAATAATCCCAGAACCATATTATGTTCTTCATCTACCTTCCAACAAGTGGGTCAGGCTGGGGTTCTGGCAGAGACAATATGACCAGATCTGTTCCAGGATATAAACATATCACCAGATTTAGGCTTGACTAAACTATAACATGGGGATAAACTAACATTTACATGGCAATATAAGGTTGCAAAGCACTTTACAAATATCATCTCATTTGATCCTCACAACAATCATGGGAGGTAGGTGCTATTATTATCCCCATTTTACAGATGAGGAAACTGAGTCAGACAGAGGCTGTGCTTTCCCACGGTAACACAGCTATTAAGAATCTGAGGCTAGAGTTGAACAGTTGATCCTGACACTAGGTCCAAATCTCTATTCCCTGTGCTTCCTAGCCTCCATATTGAGTCTGAGAGACCAGGCAAGCTTTCTTTTGTGAATTCTTTTTTTTTTTTTTGGCTAGGCATTGGGGTTAAGTGACTTGCCCAGGGTCACACAGCTAGTAAATGTTATGTGTCTGAAGTCGGATTTGAACTCAGGTCCTCCTGAATCCAGGGCTGGTGCTCTAGCCACTGCACCACTTAGCTGCCCCTCTTTGGTGAATTCTAATCTCTGGCAGTTTATAAGCTGGTACTTGCCAACTAAGTTCACAATTATTTCTTCCTATATAGTCATACGTACTATTTAAAACAGCAATATTCTTGTATGGCCTGTTTCATAACAAACACTGTGTGCTACAATATTATATGTATCATAATGTAAACATTTGTAGTGTAATTGCTATTTAACATATTAATGTACAAATATGAGCAGTTATACTTTCTGGAGTAAGTGTCGTATGATGTTATCAGAACAATAGCTAGAGGCAAGCCACGAAATGCACTGTATATTATGTGATACATTGAGGTTGTCCCCAGATGATAATAAACAGTGCAGTGCGGCATATAGAGTACGGTTTCCACTGTTGTCTGCAGTGCATATTAAAGTTGGAAGAACCTTGAGAGCGATGCTAACACTGACATTGCCTACATTTGGCTAGATAGTCAATAGTGTATAATCAACTCCTTCACGTACATATTCCCACAGCTTATAGGCTTTGGGTATAATAAAGCAAATCTTCCTGAGTCATAACTTTCAAAGAAACAAAACTGAAGAGATTCATGCAATAAATAGAAACAGTCAAAGAGCTGGATAGGGTTTCCCCTTTTGACTGAAGTCTGCAGAAATTGGAAAGGGTTTCTCTTTGTTCTTTTCTCAAAACAGGTGCTTCACTGGCAAAAAATCCCATTGTATAGAGATTCAGTCTTTTCGATGATGCTTGAGGAGGCATTGATTTGTGGGAAGTCTTCCTTTGGCTTTGGTATATTGTTACCGTTGTTACTGCTGCATGATTTACTTCTACTTTGATCCAGAGCTGGCTGGCTGGGCAAAGAGCGAGTCACTTTGTGTCTCACCAGGCAGTTACAAACAAGGCGAAAGAAAGCTCGCCGCATTTCTTTGCTGGCCAGGGTGTAGATGATAGGATTCATGGCAGAGTTGAGAACAGCTAAGGCAATGAACCATGGGGCCTTATAGAGAATAGCACACTCTTTAACTTTGCAGGCAACATCAATAAGAAAGAGGATAAACAGTGGAGACCAACAGGCAATAAAAATGCTGACTACAATCACCACTGTCCTAAGCAGTGCCATGGACCTTTCTGAGTTGTTGTGATTGGTGACCTTACGGCTACTGGACTTCACCAAAATGTAAATGCGTGCATAAAGAATCACAATTGTCACAAGAATGGTTATGAAGATACTGATGCAAAATGCAATATACTTCTTGGAATAGAGGGGCAGAATTGTAGAGCAGTCAGGAAGGTTGCCAAGGCAGTTCCATCCCAGGATGGGTAAGGCACCCAGGGAAAAGGAAATAAGCCAGCACATCCCAATGAGGAGAAATACCCGATACTTCTTATTGGCATCATAAGGCCTCATTTTAATCATAGTCAGGTGTCTTTCAATAGCTATGGCTAATAAACTGCAAGTGGAAGCACTGAGTGCAATAAACATACTGCCTTCCCGCAGAAACCAGACTGTTAACGACAGGCTCAGGGTTTTCTTTCCAGACATCAGGATGTTCACTTTGTAAGCTATGCCAGCCAACAAGTCACAAAGAGCAAGGTTACCGATGAAAAAGTACATGCGGTTGTGAAATTTGTTGTTTTTCCAAATGGCGATCAAAACCATCAAGTTCTCCAGGACAATGAAGCTGCAGATGACTAGGAAAATAGCATCTGTCAGCTCATTGCCTTCATTGTCCTTTAATCTCTCTTTCAGTTTTCCTACATAGTTGTAATGAAGTGACACAGTCCCATTTTCATAGAAGGAATTATTGAGTGGAGGAGGGGCATTTGCCATTGTTTTGATTCAAGTACTTTTTTGAAGACTGTATACACTGCAGGGAGCTTATGTAACATTCCCCAAGATGTACACTTCCTTCAAGGCAAATCAATAGTAGCTCTAGCTTCAGTAAGTGTTGCGGCTCAAATTTCAGCAGTGCCAGTAAAACCAGGACCCTATAAAAAGGGGGAAAACCACAGATAGAATTTAAAAAAAAAATACCACTAAAGAACCACAAGTTGTACATATGTATACTCAAGTTTAGAAAAACGGGAATTTACTGGTCATTTAAAGGTTGCTAAAAACATATCTCAATCTTGAAGAATTATATAACTTTGGGGTTGAAAACTCTTTATGACAGAAGGCAAGATCTTTATCTTGCTTATGTAGTATTGCTCTCATCTGAAATTGCTCTCCGTGTGGACTAATAATTCTTAGAGTAAAGCACAGCAGGAAAAAAAGAGATTGAGGCAAAATCTACAAAGACACTAACAGAAATTAAAGAGGGATTTTGAATTTAATATTTCAAAAGTTTTAACCCCACTTAGGGACACTAAGAGAATAAAAAAGGAACAAATAAGGCTAGAGCTTATGAATCAGAAAATAAATTCAGAATTAGACTGGAAGGGAAGAGAAATAATGGGCACAAAGTAATGGAACACATCTTTTAAAAGAGTAGTAAAAGAAGTAATTAAAGATAAGAAAGAGGTTGGAAGAGTAGCGACCATTTTGGACTAGTCACTTAGCTTAATGAGGAAAGGGGAGGAAATATATAAACCAAATAAACAGAACAATTTAGGTAAATTCAAAGAGCTTTAAATAGGGCAAATGGAAGCAAGGGGAGAAGAGATTGTTAAAGATGAATGTCCAAGTAGTATAAGCAAAATTAATTGCAAGGACAAAATACAAAATAAATAAATGGACAATACAAATAATAGTAATAACTTTAGATGTGAGTGGTTGAAACAACCCGTTGAAAAGTGTAACAGAATGAATCAGAAAAGAAGGCCCAACAATTTTTTTTTGTATACAAAAAATATGTGTAAAAACAAATACACACATGTAGAATGAAAATGAAAGGCTGGAACAAAATTTACTATGCCTAAGAATAATACAAAAGAGCAGAAGTTACAATCATTCCATCAGGCACAACAAAATTAAAGTCCCCATTATAAGATGAGGCAAACAGGGAAATACCGTAGTTCTAGGAACCATGAACAATGAATCAATATGACCACTAAACATACGTATTAACTGACAATAAATTTATAAAAGAAGAGTTAACTGAATGGAAAAAAGCTATAAAAATAATTGTAGGAATTTTAAATAGTCTTTTCTCAGAGCTAGACAAATATAACAAAGATAAACAAAAATGAAAACATTGAGCTAAATAAACTGTTGGAGAATTTAAACTTGAAAGAGTATTAAATAATATACTATGTTTTTCAGTATGGCATGGCACCTTATAAATGTAAAAAATCAAAAACACTTTCTAGACCACAATGGAATAATGTAGTAATTAATATTAGAAACACATACAAACGAACACATATCTCAATGAAAGCTGAATAATGAGTGGGTCAAAGAACAAAACATAGACACAATTAATAACTATTTGAGAGAGAATGATGATGAGACTACATTCTAAAATTTCTGGGATGCAGCTAAAGCAGTCTTTAGAGACAAAATCATATTTTTGAGAACACTCATTAAAAATATAGAAAAAGGGAGAATTAATGAACTGAAATTTTAAAAATCAACAAATTCAAGGTAAAAACAAACTGTATTTTTAATTATTAGAGAAATAAATTAAAAACTAAACTGTAGAATTAGTCAGCAAAATTTAAAGCTGGTTCTTTGAAAAGACTAAAAAAACCTTATAGTTAAATTGATTAAAATAGTTAAACTAATTAAAAGAAGAGGAAGAAATTTAAGTCATAAAAAAAGTGTACAGTGAAATAACATCAGACAGAGAGAAAATAAAATGAATTATCAGAATCTACTTTATACAATTATGTCAACAAAATTAAAAATGTTTTTTAATGTAAGAGTACCTACAAAAATACAAAATAACCAGATTAATAGAGCATGAAATACTGAATTTAAACAATCTAATTGTGGAAAGTAAATGAACTAATAATAAAGGAACTATTACCTTTGATCCAGGTGGATTTACAAGTGAAATCATATGTATACATATTTGTGTCTAAAGGTAGCCATCTCTAGGATGGGGTGGGAAGGAGGGAAGAAGAAGAAGAAGAAAAGGAATTTACCTGATAAATTTATTATATTTTTAAAAGGAATAGCAAGTTGTACATAATAGATTTGCAGTTTCATGTGCAATCATCTTTTTATTATTCTACTGTGTTATGGAAATGCTTGCTTTAATTAATTAAAATAAAATAAATAAAAATTACAACATAAAAAAGAATAATTAGTACCTGTACTATAAAAACTATCCTCAAAAAACAAGAAACACTTACAAAGCACCCATTATCAGATAAATATAATCTTCATATCCAAGTTAGTCTGTGTCATTGATGAATATCAATTTTAAAAAGTGGTGCAATGAATAGAGCATGAGTACTTGCTGTCATGAAGACTTTCCTGGGCTTGAATTCAAATGTTATTAGTTGTATCACTCTGGGAAAGTCACTTTAACCTCTTTCATTCTAAATTTTCTGATCTGTAAAATAGGGGTAATAATACCACCTATCTCACAGGGTTGTTGTAAAGATCAAATGAGATACCAAATCTTAAACACTATATAAATGCTAGCAATAGCAATAATAATTTAAAAACCTGCCAAAAAAGACAATAGCAATATTTTTAAAAGTTATTCACTGTGCTAAAGTTAAATTTATACCAGATATGTAGAGACAGCTTAATCACAGATAGAATTAGGAAAAAGTCAATCATATGAAAAGGAACTAAAGCCACACAATTATATTAATAGAAGCAGAAAAGACCTTTGACAAAGTAAAATTTGCATGCATGCTAAAAATTTCATAAAGCATAAGTACAGAATAATATGTTAATATGATAAAATTATGTATGTAAAAAGAAAAGCTTCCTTTGTTGTCATTTGATATGGTCCTAGGAATGTTAGCAACAGGTATAACAGAAGAGAAAGAAATTAAAGGAATAAATGTAGGTAAAGACAAAAAGAAAAAAATTTACACCTGTTTTCCAATGGCATCATTCCAATGATGGTTTACATTACTTAAAAAAAAAACCAAAATCCAGTGAATCATCAAAAAGAATAATTCAGAAATTTAATAGCTTCAGTAAAGTGATAAGTAACAAAATAAACATGAAAAAATCAATAGCAAAGTTTATCTACCAATAACAAAACCCACAAGGAAATAGAGAAAGGGAATTAACATTAAAATAAGTACAAAATACATAACATATATGAATCAATCTACTAAGTCATAACTCAAGATTAGAATAGATATGATTAATATTTTTTAAAGAAGTAAAGAATGGCTTAAATAACTAAAAGGATGTTCATTGCTAATTGCTGTACCACATCAATATAATAAAAATTACAATTCTTCCAGATTTAGTGATATATTATTTAAACTAACAATGAGATATTTTGTAAAGCTAGACAAAGTAATTCATTTTGAAGTGAAAAAGGACTAGAATTTCAGGAGAAATAATGAAAAATGTAGGAATGAAAGGGGAACGATACCTTCCTTCTTGTACATGTCAAAGTATATGATAAAACAGTAATCATCAAATCTACTTGGAGATGGTTTAAAAATAGAAAACCAGACCCATGGAATGGTTTAGATTGAGATAGGTTAGAAACAATTGAACTCAACAACCAAAGACCTATTGAAATGTATGTATGGTACACATTTTGAACTTAACATGTCCAAAACTGAACTGATAATCCTCATACTTTTTGAGATAGTTGCAGCCTTTGACACTATTGATCTCCTTTATTCCCTTTTATCTCTAGGTTTTTGGAACGATTCTCTCTCCTGGTTCTCCTCCTACCTATCTGATGCACCTCAGTCTCCTTGGTTGGATCTTTCTCCAAGTCATACCCATTAATCATGTTTGTCTCACAGGGTTCTGCCCTGGGTCCTCTTTTCTTCTCCCTCTATGCTATTTGACTTAGTGATCTCCTCAGTTCTCATGGATTCAATTATCGTCATCTGTATGGTGATGATTCTTAAATCTATTTATCCAGACTTAATCTTTGCTGACCTCCAGTATCATATCTTCAACTGCTTATTAGACATCTTATACTCAACTTGTCTAAAACTGAATTCATAATCTTTCAATTTTAAACCTTCTCTGTTTCCAAACTTCACTATTATTTTTGAGGGTACCAGTATATTCCCAGTCCCCCAGGCTCACAACCTAGGTGTCATCTTCAACCCTTCACTTTCTCTTACTTTTCACATCCAGTCTGTTGCCAAGGCCTGTCAATTTAACTGTTGCAAATACAGATACCACCCTGGTGCAGTCCCTCATCTCATGTCTGGATTATTACAATAGCCTGTTGGCAGCTCTACCTACCATAAGTCTCTTCCCACTTCAGTTCATCTTCTGCTTAGCTGTCAAAGTGACTTTCATGAAAAGCAGCTCTTACCATGCCACCTTTCTACTCAATAAACATTTATGGTTTCCTGTTTCTGGATCAAATACAGAATCCTCCATTTAGTGTTCAACCACCCCCATCATCCCTACCTTTCCAATTTTCTTATGCTTTGTAACACCTCTGCCCCTCCAATCCAGTGACACCAGCTTTCTGTTTTTTGAATAAGACTATTTCCTTACTATGCATTTTCACTGACTGTCCCCCATCCATAGAATCCTCTCCTTCCTCATCTCTGCCTCCTGGCTTCTTTCAAGTCCCAGCTACAATACTATTCTCCTCAGGAAGCCTTTCCCAATCCTTCTTAATTCTAGTATCTTCCTTTTGTTGATTATTTCACATTTATCCTGTATGTGGCTTGATTGTACAGAAATGTTTGTATATTGTCTCTCTCATTAAAGTGTGAGCTCCTTGAAAGCTGAGACTATCTTTTGCCTTTCTTTTATGCCCAGTGCCTGACACAAAGTAGGAGTTTAACAAATGTTTACCGACTGATTTGACTGACAAAAAGCATTCAATAAGCTGAGGTAGAGAAAAAGATAAAAGTACTTGAATAAGAAC